ATCTTTTAAAAAAAAACCATATATGTACAGCTTGATAATAAATTCGTTGAAAAGAGTCTCTTCGCTGAATCACTACTTGCTTTGATTTTCTACATACCCCAATGGGAATTTTTCATGAAGTAACCATTTTTACCCTCATGTGGCTGATAAGGTAATAGTAGCCTGTCTTTTGCGGCCTTTCCAAAACGAACCATTGAATTGGAAAATTTCTTTAGATATAAAACTTCCCCTCGTTGATATTTTATCATAGCGATAATTTCACTTAGTATACAATTGGTGGATGGTGGCTAGCAGTGGAATCCAGGATGCGCATTTCGTCCTATTTGGGACTCGTCAGCTGGATGTACCTGCATTTCTCAGTAAGTGATGACGTTCCCACCGAAGCTCGAACCCAGTACCCATAGTTTCGAACGCCAAACCGTTATCCACTAGACCACTTGGGCCACGAGAGCCACCTCTTGTGCAACGGGTAAAAAATCGACGGGAAAATCAAAAACTCAATTTAATAATTTAACTTACTTCAGTCTAGTCGATAACATGTAGAATAAATATACTTTGACTATGTAAACCTTTCTGACGCTGAGTTGAGTTTTCCAGGGTTAATGTTGCTTCTTTCTTACCAAACAGATAGATAGCACTTACATCAGAGAAAGACATTAGTTCTGGAAATTCCTTCAGATATAATTTATTTCCTTATTAATTATTCCCTGGATGCGTAGGATTGTTTCAGTATTTGTATTCTCACTGTTTGCATACGGATTTTAGGTGTAAAAGTATAACAGGTTTGAATTCCAGCCTTTTACTGGCTGACGAACTACCTAAAATTTCCATTGACTTTTCCTGTTTCATTTATCTGAAGTCTTTAAATTTCATCAAACTTCATGCGTATATCTGTCAGTGTGAATCAACACAATCGAATTCACATTATGACACTAATGGAATAGTTAGTGGTCAAGCAAATTTTCTCAGCATATGCTGAAAAGCCTACGTCTCAATGGAATAAACTCTTATAGTACCGCTATTACCAGACATGAGGTGGAAATCGAGAAATGCTTTAAAATTACCAATAGACAAAGGAGCTCCATTCTCCTCAAGTTTGCCAAAGTAATTTCTATCAAACGCTTCAAACCAGATTTATGTGTTCAGAAAGAAGCAGTTATTAGTTATTGATATGATTATGAACAATAAATTGTGTTCGAAACGTCATCCAGTATACAATACTGTTTCACTGTGTGATACATTTAATAATCAAACTAATATGGAATTAGTCTTTCTTTGCCCTGGTAATTGTGTGTCTTTATTCTCTCATCTGACTACGTAATACTTGTCTTTAACCTCACCCCCTTTTATTATCTGTAATTTTGCTTGTCTCTTGTTTCTATGATTTGAGTTGAACTGAGTACATTGTTACCTAATTTATTTGTCACTCTGCATCTAACGCATATCTCGTCTTTATTACGTAACTTGTTTACCATTGTATGCATACATTTATTTTGTTCAAACTTGAACTGCCTGTGTAAAAACTATATAAGCACAATTTTCTGAGCACTGTTCATTAATTGTAAAACTTTCTGCTGACAACATGTAAAATTTGCAGGTATGTTAAAACTTTGCTGTAGTTAAACCTCATAATTTATTTAGGCTGTAAACAGTAGCTGATGAGAAGCCAACGAAATAAATGATGGTATCATATTATTCTGCACAAACCACTGTTCTTGCTTTATTCAAATTCATCAAAGGAATAAATGCATTAAATAAAGCTTTACTAGACTTAACTCTTACTTACTTAACCACAGGACACTCGGGTCGGATTCATGCCATGTAAAAAACATTTTGTAAGTCATAGAGTGCCGAAAGTTACAGAAGATATTATCAGTTTAGTTCCTATCTAAAAAACAAATCTCATTCTTGGAAAAACGACTTTTCTTTGTTAGCGTCTTGGAGTTATTATCACTATTATTATATTATTATTGATTATATTATTCCTTTAGGTTCCAAGTGGAACATAGGGCGCCTTCAAGCTAGAGGCTTGAAGTTTTGGTAGCAGTAGTGTTTATTTTCATAGGACGGGCCGGGTTGCTAGCCTCATGCTTAACCTTCTCTCTTTACCGCTATTATTACCAGCTTAGTGGGGTTTAAAAATGCGTTCGCCGAGAATCGATCCCCGGACCATCTGTGTGGTTGGTGAGCGTTCCACATCTTAAACAAACCTAACCTTCTTGAAGTTATTTTGTAGACAACTAAAATATTTAAGTTACTTGACACCTCCTAGGCGATAACATACACTGATGCTTCGTATATTTTGTTTGGAGATTGACGTCAACTGTGAAAGAAGTTAATCTGCCTTGTTAAAACATAAGTGTGCTTTATAACACAATAATCTTTTAAGAACCAGCATTTAGAAAACCTTAATGACATGTCTTATGCGTCCAAAAGTTATTTGTTATCACCTTAAACCTGCCTTGGTAATCCAACTTAGAACCAAGGACCAATTTTACTTCATAATATTTTCAAACCCTTTCTTTGCCTTTTTTTTCCTCCCTGTATCTTTCTTACCCACACCTTTTGTGTCTCCCTACCCATTATTTCGTGACCTTGACCCGTACATGATCTGACCTGTATTGTAATTATTCATGCTTTCTTGCCTTATATAAAAACTGTGTCTGACAAGTACGTGTGTGATCAGAATGTCCGAAATGTGTTGCGCCAATACATTACACGGTTCAGATAATCTACGTCTTCTTATTGTTTTGTCGAAACTTAATGACATATCCATGAGAAAATGTGACGTCATAACAAAAACAATTGAATGAATTTATCAACAGATGTGATAGTTTCTAATCACCCTATTCTGTAGACCATATGACACAGGTTTAGTCCAGCAGAGTATCTTGATGTAACAAAGAGATAAGTAAAAATCCGGTGAGAACAGGAATAGAATCAGTAACACCCTTTGGTATTGAGACATTTCACAGCAAACGTCACCGCGAAAAACAAAACAAAATGTGGCACTTACTTCTGTATATTGTATAATGATCCAATTATTTAAAGCAATTAGTTCCCTTTATGAATTTCGACAACACAATATGAGGATGTGGTTTATCTGAAATGCGTAATGTGCATATTTGTGCGGCACATTTCAGACATTCTGACTACACACGTACTTGTCATACACATTTATATAGAAGGTAAGAAGGCATGAATTATTACAATACAGATCAGATTGTGTACAGGTTCGAAATGTGTTGCCTCGAATATATAACACGTTTTAGACAGACTACATCTTGAATATCGCCAATGAGTCAAATGAAAAAGAGAAAAGGTTCAGCGAAGAGGCTCTTTTCGACGGCGAATTCATTCACATAGCTGTACAATCACATTCATTTATAATTATTTGTGTGTGTCTGTGTGTACATGAGGTTTGTCAAATTTAAATAGTTGATCAGGTAATACAAGAATGATCTAATATAGAAACAAGGTTAATCAGACAGTAACTAAAGTAAGATCGAGTTAGTTAGTAAGTTGAATGACGTAATATAATTGACTAATATGTTTCAACTTAGGTCAGGGTAGCAACAGAGGTAAGTACAGATAGAGACTAAGTAGAAGTGAGGTAGAGAATAATGCCAGTTAAACTAGAACTGAAATTGAGTAAATAAGTTGAATGACGTAACATAAATGACTAGAAATTGAGCGTCGGTCAAGTCAGTAACAGTGGTGGTGAGGTGAAGAAATTAAATCGGGTGGGGGTAGAGAACAAGAAGGTTGAAAATGTAGAATACAACAATTGGGAAGACAAAATAATACCAACGAAGAGACAGAAGAGAAAGAAATTAAGTAGAATTTACCTGTTGGGTATTAAGATAGATTACGTCCATTGCAAGTGTAGTGATTGAACGAACTTCTTCTGTATGCAGAGTTCAGGACTTAGCAAGTTGAATCGCCATTGCTTCTGTAGTTTGAAGAAGTTTGATTCGCATACCTTTAGGAAGACTATTTCTTATTGTGTAGACGACTTTGAAGTTTGTTTGTGGTGTAGCTTGGTGTCCGGATTCTAATAAATGTTCTAAGATGGAGCTGCGGGGACATCCTTCTTCTTTTTTGTGAAACCATGCTCGTAAGGGTTTGGTGAAAGCTAACGCTGGGTTTAATTTCTGTACCTCACCATCACTGTTACCGACATGACCAACGCTCAATTTCTAGTCATTTATGTTACGTCATTCAACTTATTTACTCAATTTCAGTTCTAATTTAAATGGCATTATTCTCTACCTCACTTCTACTTAGTCTCTATCTGTACTTACCTCTGTTGCTACCCTGACCTAAGTTGAAACATTTTAGTCAATTATATCACGTCATCCAACCAACTAACTAACTCGATCTTACTTTAGTTACTGTCTGATTAACCTTGTTTCTATATTAGATCATTCTTGTATTACCTGATCAACTATTTAAATTTGACAAACCTCACGTACACATACATAGTAGTTATATATAAATGCGGTTGTACAGCTATGTGAATGAATTCGCCGTCGAAAAGAGCCTCTTCGCTGAACGTCTTCTTTTTTTCATAAAACTACACGTCTTCTTATTGTATAGTCGACATCCAATTACTCTTAAGACATGCTGTTCGAAACCCTCATCAAGACTGTTTTAACCGAAGTGTAAAAACTTTATTATGGACATTGTATTTCCAAACAAACAAATCCACAGATACACCATACTAGCAAGTGAAAACAGTCGCATAAACATCATTTACGCCCCTCCGCCCACATTACTGAGACGTTTACCGTACGAGTTATGTCATACTTCTTCGTTAAGTAGGATTCAGCATCCGGTGACGCATATTATTATTACTGTCGTTTTCTTCACTACTCGAAGGAACTTCCTGTTGTTGATTAGGTGTAATATAATCTTCGTTCACACTGTACCATTGATTAGCATCACTCACTCACCTTATTAAATTTTTTGGCTTTTATTGATGTTTGCATTTTATTTAGGAAAATATTTCAGTCTGTCAAGGTGTTCATTAAAGACTATTCCGCTGGCTTTCATACACCAATTGATGGGTTGCCTTTTGTTGATTGGGTAAGAAAATAATTTTAAAAAAATAAAATGCATCTATACAATTTAATTTAATTTTGAATTTTCCCGCCGATTGATTCGACCGAAGTGCTCACTCTCAGGTTGACAATGTCGGCTTCTTATGCAGATGTTTCGACAATGTCTGGGCATTTAATTGCAATTTATTTAATTGGTGGAGGGTGATAAGCAGTGGAATCCAGGATTCGAGCCTCGGTGGGAATATCATCACTCACTGGGAAATGCTGGTACATCCAGCTAGAGAACGAGTCCCAATCAGAGGACGAAATGCACGTTATCCTGGATTCCACTGCTAGTCACCATCCACCAATTAAACATCTATACAACTGATAATTGATATAATTAAATGATACGAATTATAGTATTTTGCAATAACGTCCCTCTATCTATTAATTCTTCCGTGATGATTTAATCACTCTGTTATTCATTCAATTTAAATAATTTTCAAGAATTAGTTTGTAGGGATTCGATTTGTTTCCTGTTACACCACAGATTGATATCAAGTAGAGAACAATTGCAAGCCAGTGGGGAGTACTGAACAGCTGTCTCATTCTAGTTTGGAACTCATCGGCAGGGTTAGAACCCAGGAGCCTCCAGTTACAAGGCAACCTCGTATGCCATCCAGACACCACTAGGATCTGATTCAGTAGTGAGCCAGCCAGTCCATGAATTCCAACTTCTACAAATTCATGACTGAAGCACGACTGGCACTAGCCAGTTTCACCGGCGGAAACTCTATCCTTACTTCTGACTGGCTAGACCCCAGTGATCACGATTTCTCAGAAGAAATCCACGGAACGTCGTCCTGTAACCAGTTACTAGAACAAGCATCAGATTTATTTCCAAGAATTAGTTTGTAGGGATTCTATTTGTTTGTTTTGTGAATAGATAATGGATTGATATCACTCAGATTTTAAGCATTATTAAATCACCGCAAAATCAGCGGTGACACAAGGTTTCTGTATTCCTTCGTGACTTCCTCTAAAAAATAAAGTATTAGGATGGTAACATATGGTCTGTTTTACAACATGAAAGATGGCAAGATTGTGTTACCATTTAGTCACATTATCTTTAATTATTTGAATGGATACTGAATAAAGAGTACTCTTTTCGATAACCCCTTCATCAACAGGCTCTACAGTTATACATATACATCGTAGTGAATGAATGAATTAGTGTCATGAATAACATTAATGTTGTTTAAATAACATTGAATCAATAATACTGATAGATTACAGCTGAATAGCATAACATAAAACAAGATGAATGTCAGAAAGGCAAATTAGGAAAGATAATATTAAAAATTCATGAATTTATAGTTTCCACTGAAGGCCATCCAGGGCAGTAGTAGTGGCTGCTTAAACTTGCTTCTTTTGAACACAGATCACTGGTTGTTTGAGGCGAACTGAAATAGCCTCTGCTGTTTGGAGCATGTGATGCTCGATGATTTTGGCAATTTATTAGGCACCCGGTGGATGATGATAGAGAAGGATTCTTTCACGCTGGCTGGCTTTGTGGCCGGCCGGTTTGCACCAGATGGTCCAATATCAAACTGTTAATGGTTTTAGCTACACCTTTACTTAGCCATAGTCGGAGATGTTCTTGAGTGAGCACGAAAAATCAGGTCCCTAGAGCAACGGCCAATATAACTCGCTCCACAGGCGCATTTGAATTTGGAGATACAATTTGAAGTGGCTAGCTAGTCTAGGTAATTCATCTTTCAGCGAAGGAATCACCATTGATCGTGTAGAGAATATTACGTGTATTTCGCCAGCATTCAGAGTTATTTGAACTGATTTTCTTAATTTCTTCGTAATTATTTCGCTTGGTATATCGCTCTTGAAATGCAGTCGTATATAAAGAGGCTTCTTGTTAACAGATAGTGATTAGTCCTTTTCCATTTTCTTTGTCATATGTTTCTTGATAAATTTCTCGGGATAGCTATTTTTGATCAAAGTATCATATACAATGTTTAATTCATCTTCAGTTACTTCTTCTGAGCATATAGCTCTAACTCTGTGATTCACATTTCTAATACACCTAGTTTTTTATTGGTTAGAAGTCTGCTCAATGAATTTTCACACTAACCAACTGTGCATTGCATAGAATTCAGCCATATGCTTTATTGTTTTTCTGATCACCGATGCAAAGTACATAGAATTTAAGTTTATTTGCGTATTCATTTTTGAAGAGGATAGATACACCTCTCAAACAAGTTTCAGTGTATTTAACTTACCTAGATTAGTTTCAAGATTTCATCATGAACTGATATCGGTTAGATGATCATTGGAAAGCCCACTCGAAGTACTGGACAACTAACTGTCTCACTCTAATTTGGGGCTCTTCAGCAGTACACAACCATGACCCCCCGCTCACATGATTAGAAGAGAACCTCAAGGTTACTAGGCGACCTCATATACTGTGTAGCGGAGTCACCAGATAGTGTCGTCGGTGAATGTTTGTCCTAACACCAAATATGATGGACCTAGCTGATCACGACTTGCCGCTAAAACTACAAGCAGCTTCAGACTGTAATGGGTCGCCGTTAAGCACTTGATTAATTTTCTAGAGTTAATTAGCAGCAACCGAAACTAAAACTAACCGTATCCATGCAAACCAACTCATCAAATATGCCTACTGAGTTATTCACTCAAGAACTCTTAGCTGGCATAACTTTTATTACATGAATGTAAGCCAGTGATAATTGTAAAAAACCACTTACTTACTTACTCTGTCATTTACCCCTCGTCAATAAACAATTCTCGAAGTGTGTAAAACCACTCACCAATTCTGAGGCATTGACGTAACGAAATCAGTCAAGAGTTTCCACTTAAATATTGGCGTGAATAACTGCCAGCATGAAGTCACTGTCTTATAGAACAACTGGTTTTCAGAGTTGGGAAGACTTGCTGACTTTAGCGGTTAAAATAACACATTTTGCAGCACATACGACCGCTTGTCCTTTCACTTCTCTTAATTATATGGACAGAAAAGTAAGTCAAAGCCTCAGTGTGTGGAAAATAACCAACATAAGTATATTGATGATATTAGATGGCTGGAGGTAATCGGCAGGAAGTCTTGCCTGACCTAGCTTTGGCGCTAGTTGCTACTCACCAGTCAGTAAGGTGCATCTGCGTGTCAGTCTGTAAGTGGAAAGGGACTGGCGCTATGAAAAGTAGCCAAAATACACAGTTAACTAGTGAGAGAAGCATGTTTTGCATAAACAGAGAAAAAGAGATAAAAAGAACATATTAACAGGATGAAAAGAGATCATGTTTGTTACTTTGCCACTTTTCATCAGCTGTCTGTAGCCCATAAGGTGACAAAAGCTATTATAAAAATGCCAAAATATATAGCACACTTCAAAGAATTATTTCTGGTCAGAAGGTGTACTAATAGAACAAGAGATAAGAATACACATTACTTAATAATATGATAACCCTAGTTTATACATGCATAACGTGATGGACTGTTTAAGAGGACCTTAAAGAAATAGCAAATAAAAGTAAAGCTATTACACAAACAAACAATTAGGTAAGTGGAAGACTAACAGCGAGTACAGCTCAGCGAGTTGTCAGAAGAAACATTTGTGCGGCTACAAGTTACCAGGGTAGTTTGATTTTGACTGAACGCCTCATGTCAATCTAAATGATTAGTGGTTACACTGCAAACACCTTTTTTAACTTTCAATATGAAGATTGTTGTGGGTATACTCGGAAAATTTAGCAAGCGCTCTCCTCTCAGTCCTTCTTGTTTACTTGCTAGTAAAAGTGCGTGAGAACTGGTAAATCCAACTGCAGTTGACATGGAGAGCACACTTATCTGCTATGGACTGTACAAGTGAACACTTCACGCCATAAAGAGTAATCAATCCTGTGGCGGAAAATGTCCCTTTCAATGCATCTTTGATTCTTTTTTCAATTCTTTTTGGTGTTTCTTCCCCTTTGTACGCCAGGCAAATGAAAACTGGTTTCTATTCAATCGTTGCGGAATTCGATTTGGACGTTTCTTCTCTTCCGTATGTCATTATGAACTTTTAGGGATATTAATTCTATATTAAACTTTTTCCGACAATCATGAGATCCTCATCAACTACTTTTTCTGACACGCAACTCCCTCACTCTAATGAAAAGCATTCTGCTCTAACGCCGCTTGTAATCAATCGGGTGACAACTCGTGTGATTCAAGCACTGACCCGTCCATGTTTCTTCTGTATAGAATTTTGTTCTTATTGTTTATTATGACTATTATCCATTTGGGCTCTGAGTAGAACATCCGGCTTTAACAACACATCTCAACTTTCTTCTTTTTTCTGCTATCTACTTCAGCTGAGCCCATGATTGCCAATAATCTCTCATCTCCTCCTTTATAAGTGATCTCCCTCGTGCGACTCTTTAACGACCCACTCGTCGCTTCCCGTACGCGTTTCACTCGAGGGCCTTGCATGCGATGTCATTCGGTAGCCTTCTCAAAGTATGTCCGATATATCTCATTTTTCTCCTATGTATTTGTTGGGTGATCGGCTCTTGGTTGGTTTCTACCTAGCCAGCCAGAGTTTCTTGTTGCTAATTGCTTCTGGCCATTCGATCTTCAGTATGGAGTGGGCGAAGCTGGCAGCTGTTGATGAACGTCTGCAACAGGCTGTTGGAAATCCTTTCCGTGACACACACACGCACAGTGGAAGATTTTTACCCGTATAGAAGAACTGACTGACTACACATTTGTGTTGAAAAGAATCCGAATCTTGTTCCTTATGCTGGCTGGCTAAGTTCGGGAGATTTCCAAACTGGTTTCAGATGGATGAAGGAGCGCGTATCTTGCCTTTGCTATTCTGACTGGCTAACTGGCTTTGACATCTTTATCCGTTTCACCTGTAGTTGAAAGGATGCTTCTCTCACGTTGATGGTCACTAGTGCTACTTCTTGTTGCTATTGGTAAGTTGGTTATCTTCATTAGCTCCGTCTTCTCTGTGTTCGCCTGCAGTCCTGTCTTTGCTGCCTGCCTCTTTTTCCAACCTTTTGGTCTTTTCATGAAATTATTCGCGCTTGTGTGACATCAGACATATATCATCTGAGAAATCCAGATCTTCTAGAGTTCAATTATCGGTCGTCCAGTGTATTCTTGACTCTTTGCCCCTAACAGTCTGACGCATAATCCAGTCGTGCACCACAATTATGAATATCAGCGGTGATAATAGGCAGTCTTGTCTTACTCCTGTATGCACTTCGAACGCCTTGGTGAGCTCTCCGTTGTAGACCACTTGATATATGGCATTGTCATATAGCTGTTGAATAAGGCTGGCAAAGACTTGAGGTACGTCATAGTGTTGAAGTAGTTTCCAAATTACTTCTCGATCCACTCTGTCGAAAGCCTTCTCTAAGTCGATGAAGTTGTTCTACGGCCCCACTATTTCTTTATTTAATGCTAAGATCGAGAAAGTTGAACTGGTTGTAGCTTTCAAAGTTCATTATTTATCTAATATGAGGACAACCTACATTAATTTTCTCAAGTACAACTGATACATGCTCTATGTTACTGCAAACAACAAATGTATCATCAACATACCTGCAGTAATATGTCGCCTTCTGAATTCATTTGCATTTGTTCAGGATATGCCATGTACATATCAGCAAGACCACGGCCCAAAGGAGAATCAACAGATACTCCATCAATTTTCCAATATCTTAGGCTATGTAAAATGGAACTGGACACCTTTTGTACAAAGGTGTAACAGTTTTCATAGCTCATTCTGATGAAAGAGAAAGTAATTCAAGCTGATGTCCTATGGTTTTTACTGATTATTCAAATGATATGCTTACAAATAACAAATAAGTGGCATGCGATACTAAGAGTGTGTCTGAAAAGTTCAGCTAATCCTGTTCATGTAAACATTTTGATGAATCTTCGGCAGTATGAACTGTCAAATTTTTCCAGATTAGTTACAGCTTTTGTGGCAAACATATAGCCAGTTTATGGAGTAGTGGTCTCACCATTAATATTAACGGCCTCAAATGTACACCTTGTTTGTAGATGAGTTGCGTAGACCATACATTTCCAGCATGTGTGAATCTCATGGTTTGAATTTATCATGAGTATGGTTGTCGATTCGTTCTTTCATAAAACGATCCTTAAGGTCGTTGTTTACTCTGTTATCGAAGGTTGTTGTTGTTGTATTGCTTTTCGACTTATCTGCTCAGAGTGTCATTGTATCACTCAGTAACATTGTCACTGTAAAAATGCAGTCCTGCCACTTCGTTGTTTTCTGGTTCGAGAAAAATAATTTTATCATTGTTTTGTAGGTTTACTAGCGCTTACTTACACTCCTTAGTGAGAAAATTCGATAACGAAGCAGACGAAATATAGTACAGCTCTTCAATATCCAGCATCTTGGAATTAAACCAGTGCTTAATAATTTCCCAGTACAGGTTTTGTGGGGATTTTTTTTTAACTGGTTGGACGATTTCATCATGAGCCGACATCAGTTGGACAACCATCGGGAAACCAACAAGGAATACTGGACAACTATTTGTGTCGCCCTAGTTTGGGACTCCTCATCAGTGTGCACCCAACGACAGGGTTCGAGCCCACGACCTTCTAGTTACAGAGCTAGTGAGCTCGTAGACCATTAGGCAACTGCAACCTAATCCAATGGCGAATTCATGAATTTTAACTTCTAGCAATTCTCTAACTGACGTAGGCTCATGATGAAATCATTCAACCAATTAAACAAAATCCCTAGAAAATCAATACTTGAAAATTGATCTGATGATCACTAGCGACTGACCCTACTCAGACAGTTAACCTCGGGTTCTAATGCAAAGCAGTCACCAGTGGAGTACAACAGGTTGAAGGTAAGAACAGTTACTCATAGAAGAAGACATTGGCTAGTGGTTATGCTGTTATGAATTGGCAGAAGTTGGAATTCACGGTCTGATCACTGGATCTAGTCCCAATGGCTTCATGATCTACGATTTTACTTTATAACTTAAAGTTCCTAGGTTCGAAGGTTGGAGGTGGGTGCGTACTGCTGAATGGTCCCTAAAACCTAGAATGGAGGAAGCAGCTCTTCAGTACTCCTAGGTGATTTTCTAATGTTTCTCTAACCGATGTCAACTCATGATGGAATCCTCCAACCAATAAAAATAGCCTAACCACTTATTTTAAAACTCACTTAAAACATTCTAATACTGATCTGACCTTCACCCCTATAAACTGCTTAACAAAAATCAATACATTCACAATATAAACTAAACTCTTAACACTTTCATTAACAGCCTCAAATGTTCTCTTGATTTGTTTTTGTCTATAGACAGAACGTAAGATGGAACATGAAAGGAATTACAGGCTAATTAAAACAATCAAAGAAGAGTACAACTGGTCAGTTATACCAAGTCATCAAATCACATGGACTAGATTGAATCACTTTCATGCTTATGCAAGATGCTCATGTCATTTTTATCATATTGAGAGGAAACCATTTCATTCTTCTACAGAAAATAAAAATATAACAATTTATGAAATCATTGGACAAATACACTGGATTGTATCGAGAATTATTGAGATGACAATCTTACAAAATTCTCCTTAACACCATTGTAAATATCTCATTTTTAAAGCAGGAGAAGCACCTCTTTCGGTGTGATTTTGTTTTTTTTTTTTTATTTATGCATTTTGAAGACTAAATTGTCGCAAGAAAGATATAACAAACTGATTCTGGTGTTATATGTGTTGTTGGCTTTAAAAGTCTATTTGACTTAAAAGCATCACTGTTATCATTGCACTTAAGATCTATAGCATTAACCTAATTCAGAGCAACATAAAATCACACTGATTTTAACCAAGAGAAGTAATCTTTGTCAAGCTTGTCATTGACCCGGTAGAATTCTTCAACTGAAGACTATCAGTGCTTGACAAAACTTCTGGAAAGCTCCAAAACTTGCACAAAACTACTGTCATCGTTCTCAATAAATTTTTATTCTATTCCCTTGCAGGTTTATATGTATTATGTAGATCAAGCTAAATCCTATAACCGTCTTCTGCTCCACAAATTAAAAAAAAGTCACGTTAACGGAAACATCTTATCCTCGATTTGTGAATTCGTTCTAATACTAAATTCAAATGATAGCATGCTAGTAAAGAGTGAACAAGGAAGATTAGCTGAGTATAGTTTCTTAAGAAAACGTTATAATTCGACAAACAGAATATTGAGTCTTAATTTCATAAGTCAATGTGAGGTGACTCTTCAGAGTGATATTAGCGTAACAACTAGGGGGTTTCAATTCGTCAGACGCCATATGAATCAAATAAATGCTCACAACATTAACACTTCAAATTTATTGGAATTAACACTTTGAAAATTGGAATTTTTGAATTGATATTTAAATAGTTCCTATACCGTCAGCTTTTTTTTATAGCTGTATATCTCATAATGACCAAACATTCGAAGCTAGAACTATACTTATACTATGTTATGAAAGCTACTTAATAACAGTATGTTTGTTCGTACATCTAGCACTGAGCCACATCTATTTCATGAGAGTTGATAATAATATCTGACCACCTAGAACCCAGTAGGCAGGACCTATTTTAACCCTGTGACCCACTGATTAAGAGAGAATATCACTGATAATATTCTTAATTGTGGTGCACGACTGGATTATGCGTCAGACTGTTGAGGGTGAGGAGTCAGGAATACACTGGACGACCGGTAATTAAGCTTTAGAAGATCTGGATTTCTCAGATGATATATGTCTGATGTCACACAAGCGCGAATAATTGCATGAAAAGACCAACAGGTTGGAAAAGGAGGCAGGCAGCGAAGACAGGACTGCAGGTAAACACAGAGAAGACAGAGGTGATGAAGATAGACAACTAGCCAGTAGCAACAAGGACCAGCACCAATGACCATCAACGGGAGAGTTTTGGCAGAGATCACCTCTTTCACTTATCTGGGAAGTATCATTTCAACCATCGGTAACAGAAATAGATGAAGATGTCAAAGCCAGTTAGCCAGTCAGAATTGCAAAGGCAAGATACGCGCTCCTTCATCCATCTGAAACCAGTTTGGAAATCTCCCGAACTTAGCCAGCCAGCATAAGGAACAAGATTCGGATTCTTTTCAACACAAATGTGTAGTCGGTTTTTCGATACGGGTAAAAATCTTCCACTGTGCGTGTGTGTGTCACGGAAAGGATTTCCAACAGCCTGTTGCAGACTTTCATCAACAGCTGCCAGCTTCGCCCACTCCATACTGAAGATCGAATGTCCAGAAGTAATAAGCAACAAGAAACTCTGTCTGGCTAGCTACAAACCAACCAAGAGCCGATCACCCAACAAATACATGGGAGAAAATGGAGATATATCGGACATACACTGAGAAGGCCACCGAATGACATCGCATGCAAGGCCATTACTGCAGTGGAATGCAAATGGGAAGCGACGAGTGGGTCGTCGGTGTACTTTGGGACGAAGAGATGAGAGTGTTTGGTCAATCGTAGACCCAGTTGAATTAGACGGCAGAAAGTAGAAGAAAGTGGAGATGTATTGTTGAAGCCACATGTTGCAATCTAAACGCAGCGGGATATATATATATATATATTCCTTTACGTTCTCAGTAGAACAAACGGCTTCAACCTATAGCTTTGAATCCTCAGTACTAACGGTGTTTCTTTACAGGGTGGAATTGCTAGTCTTATGCCCAACCTTCCGTCTTTACCGGCCTTATAACCAGCTTAGTGAGGTAAGGGTGTGCATCGGCCGGAGATCAACCCTTGACCACATGCGTGGTCGGCGAGCATTCTGAGGCTAAGCCACCGACGCACCATCTATTTATATATATATATATATATATATATATATATATATATATCACTAATAAAGTTTATATTGATGGCTTCTTTTGATAAAAAAAACCAATTGCCCCATTATTATTACAAAGTCAAGAACTCAAATCAACTTTCATTTAGCAAAACAAAAACGTATCACTTTTTAATCATTTTAGTTTGTGTGTTTGGTGTCATCAGCATCATTATAAATTAATGGAAAAGAGTAAAGCAAAGACATTTAAAAAAAGAAGAGCTTTTCAAAAACCAAGTTATCAACTGAATGATTGATGATGAAATGACCATCATATATATATAATGTGAGTATGCATACAACACTTAAAAGCACACAGGCGAGCGAGCGCGCGCACACAAACACACACACACAGACAAGAACACAGATATGTGTATGTGCTATACCTAAAGGTGTTAACAGCTGTGAAAAGCGCGCGCACGCACACGCTGATTCACTGTTTATCCTGCAGCCTATGTTACTTATGAATATAAGAGATAATGGAATAAGAATAAAGTGGGTTGGTCGATGTGGGGTGTTGGGTTGAAGCGGAGAGGAGCGATGTTGGGAAACGGGATAAAGTTAACAATTTTAATAATAAAAAAACGTAATGAAGGCAAGTGTAAATATATAATAATGAAATAATAATATAATGGACTATTATTGTATATCTCCTTTTTAGAGTACTCAAGTTTGTTCATATATTATCCTTCTTCAGGGGAAGATAGAAGAAATTTTTAAAGGGAAGTTAATAAATAGGTGTTGTGAGTAATAGTCAGAAATAATGACACTGAAACATATTCATAATAGGCAAGTGAAAAGGCTTTGTCTATTTGTATGTATAATGAGGTATACGCATTAGGAGAGAAAGAAAGAAGGAAAAAAGAAAAGAGAGGGAAATTGAAATACAAGATTATACATGATGTACACACATAAATAAGAATACGGAATGACAATAATCTTAAATGAATAATTTGTATGACATTGATATCTCTCTCTCTATATGTATCAAAGATAAAACTGCTCAGACACATTCAGAGAGAAATTCAAGTACTGGTATACTGACCTCATTGAATCTCCAGTTTTGATGTATGTATGTATGATTATTGTATGAATTTCGCATACATAAACTCATCGTTTTAGTATAATTATGATTATTATTATTATTACTAATAGAGGGCATTGTCAACGTGCAAAGTGTACTTCATGCAGCAATAAATAGTTACGAAGTTCATCCAGTGTAATTACTCCATTCCCTATAGATAAAAAAACAAACAATGGGAATAAAAAAAGGGAAAAGGTAATTTAAAATATTAGATTGAGATAAAATGACATAAGTAAATTAAATTTTTAACAGCTTTAGATAGAATCACCGCAGTATTTAAATAACCTTTAAATAAACAGCTTAGCAAATGAGAGCTAAAGTTGCCGTAACATCATGATTTGAAGCACACAACGAACTACTAGAAATCGGGACTGTAGTTGCAAAAAAATGTATTATAGTTGGAGGATTTCATCATGAACCGACTAACATTAATTAGAGAAACTTTGGAAAATCAGTCACAGGGAGTACAGGACAACTGTTTTGTCAGTCCTAGTGTGCGGCTCTTCACCAGTGGTTAGAATTCACAGACTGGCCATTAGATGGGGTTCAGGTGACTTAATAGTCTACGAGCTCGGTAGTCTTGTAACCAGAAGGTCTTGGGTTCGAACCTTGTCGTGAAAAATATATACTATTCTACTGAAATTCGGTATTCACTAGAAATGGTCAGCTAAATATATCCGGATAGAATATTAAGTGAACAGTAGTATCAACTTGACAACTCGAAAGTCATTTCTGAAAACACTAGTTCAAGCATTATTCTTCTTACTTGATAATCAGTGTATCAAGTATTAGCTTGAACTAGGGGACAGCTATGAATATATTGAGTGATGGTAGAAGGTTGTCTCAGGTGAAATAATCACCTGATTGGCTGGTTCAGTAGACTATTTGTTCGAATCCTGTTCTGGCCTTGATTTTCATTTCGTATTTTCCCTAAATTAATAACAACTAATTTCTAAAAGTTATGCTTGCATTTACAGTGAAGCCATCTTTAAAAAAAACGTTCTCTACGATTCTTTTTGTAATCTACACAGTTATAAGGTAGATTTGAGGCACTGGATGGTATGCAATGAAATATTATATAGGGAAAAGATGTTAATGATTTCAGCTCAACCAGCAACCATTGTCATCCACGGGAACTCCATTCTAATTCCCAGCTGGATGGCCCCCACTGGTCATGATTGAATACTATATGAACTTGCCTTGTAAACGGAAGGTCATGGGTTCAAACAGCAGCGGGTGCATATTGCCGACAATTCCCAAACTAGGATGAAAAAGATGTTTAGCAAAGAGTTACTGTTTTAAGTGATGTCATCCTCACTCTGTAGAATCGCATGTATGTTTGGCAAATTATCTTAGCAAAGAAAGGTATATTTCCGAAGATATATTATTAGAATTGTAAGTGTTTACACATATTACGTTAAATCCCGAACTGTGCATACAGAATATAGAAAAAAATATGTTCACAAGTCTCGCGATACCTTAATACGAAGGCGATTAGTAGAATATTGCTTGAGAAAAATCCTTTACAAAAAACCAGTACTTGAAAACTGATCGGATGCTCACTAGCGACTGGCCATATTCAGGCAGTTACCTATGGTGTTATTGGGAAGCCGTACCCAGTAGGGTATAGCAGGTCAAAGGTGAGGCACCAACTCATCGAAGAAGACCTTGCGAAATGATCACAGTATGTTGTAAATTGTCAGATGTTAGAATTTATGGACTGGTCAATGAATCAGGTTCCAATGGCTTAATTGTCTACGAGCTCGGTAGCCTCCTAACTAGAAGGTCCTGGGTTCGAACCCTGTCAGTGGGTACATACTGATGGGGTATCCCAAACTAGGCCGATGGAACAGCTGGATGTCCAGTACTCCCAGATGGTTTTTTAATAGTTGTCTAGCTGACATCTGCTCGTGATGAATTCCTCCAACCAATCAGACAAAATTCCCTACAAAACCAACACTTAAAAACTATTTATTTCTTTGCGCATAAAATGAACCTGTGCTGTCTATGATTATATTTCATGATAAAACAATCATTCTTTGATGACTGCATGTCATAGGTTCTTGGAATTATACTAGCCTAATGATTGATATACTAGATGGGTATATTTTCTGTATACAGTGTCACCATATTTATATATATATGCGTAGTAGGGAAACCTATTCAACTGGATATATCAGTTAGGGATTTGTTGTTATTATTATTGTTTCCTTTAATCCCTAGAAGAATATAAGGCTTCAGCTGCACATCTCCATTGCGTTCGGTTCTCTGCTAAAGTTTCCACCTGGCTCCAAGTCTGCCCACATGCGTTCATCTCGTCTTCACATGACCTCCGCCTCCATATCACCTTCGTACTGATGACCAACTCGTCGGTTCCCTTTCGGGTTCTACTCGAGCGATGGCTTGTCTAGTGATGTCACTTGATGATTTTCTCGGAGTATGGCCAATCCATCTTCATTTCTTCCTGCATATTTGTTGCACAATCATTTCCTGCTGGGTTGGTTTTTCGCTCCCAGAGATCCCTGTTGCTGATCTCTTTTGGCCGGCCATCTGATATTGAGTATTACTGAGCAAGGACAGCTGTTTGTTCAAAGTGCTCTTCATGACGCGCCAAGTCTCTGATTGGTCTGGCCTTACATTGGAGTTTAAGATCCGGATGTCATTTTTCATGCGGAGTGCTGTTGACTTCCACACAGACTTGAGAAAAATGAAAGCTTCTCTTGCTTTCCCCATCCTTGCTTTGATATCCTCGTCAGTTCCTCCTGTAGTTGAAGCAATGCTTCCCAGGTAGGTAAAGGAGGTATTTATTACCATTTTTTATTTTATAAAGGTATACTTTAGAATAAATTTCCTTCAGTTAGACAAAATATTATAATTGATTTATAATGAAGTCGCCAGCATCTCCAATTGTAGGAGATCTCTCTGTGAACGCTCTGAGAAGAAAGGCACTGACAAGTTTTAGTTGTCATTCTAGAATATGGTGCAGATGTTCATATGACACATTTGTCATCATTAAGAATGCCGAAAAAAAGAAAACTTTCTAACAGAGATTAACTTAATCTCAAAATATATACAGTTCACTAAAGAAGTACAATCGGATGAAGGAACTCTAAACTTCGTAGATTATTTTGTCGCAAAAGACAAATTGACGGGAAACTAAAGTTCAAAATATACAGGAACCGACATATTCCAACAGATATTCGAATTTCAAATCAGACCATCCAAAATGAATAAAAGTTTCAGTGGCTTTACATCTCGTTAACAGAGCTAGAAACATTATAGCAGATAATGATGATGATGATGATGATAAGGAGAACAAGATCTTCAATATAAAACAAATTCTGATTGAAAATGGTTATCCGAAAATGCTATTAAATAAATAATATTATAAATAAAAAGGAACAGAAGGGGAAACAGGAAAAAATCGAAAGGAGACAGCTGAACAACTTCAAAGAATACCTGCTTCATATGATATTGAAACCAATTTCAAACCCTCTAATTCTCCAGAGGAAGCTCAGGTGAATGTCAAAGATATGATCCCCAAAATGACACAAACCAACTGTGTCTATAGGATAAAGTATTCAGGATGTAAAGTATGCTATATAGGGGAGAGCAGTAGACAGGTGGAGGTCAGAGTGAATGAACACAGACTGTGCACTAAACGTCCAACTAGAAATGAAATAGAATTAAAAAGTCTAGAGAAAAGATAGGTTATAACAATGCGTGCGATAGACAGTGGTCATAAGATTCATTTCAACAGTGTCAAAATTCTAAGAAGAGGATTTCATTCACATAAAGAAAGGTTGACTTCTGAAACCTTGTATATTTTAACCACATTGAATGCAGTGAATAAGAGAGGAGGGATAGACTGATCACCTATATGGCAAAGTCTAAAGTAGCGAAACAGATGATGGGAGAACATTTTGTGAAATATTATCATGCTTTGAAGTGTTACCCACATAACAAACAACATGCAGACACACACACACACTCATACAGACAAATACGCATATGTGACAATTCGACACTAGTCATTACAAATATGCGACGACTGTTTACATTTTCTGTTGGTACAAATGTCTACCGACAAGTGACCCTCAAAATGAGTCCACTGCAATTTATTTAATTCCTGAAGATTAAATAAAATTCGAATAAGTCTGCTGAAGAAGCTGTGATAGCTTATACAGCCAAATGTTGGGATTATTTTAAATAATTTATAATGATTCAATCTGACTCGGTGCTCAAATTATTCCAGGAAACTGGTAACATCTAAGGTCTGAAAACTTATACAAAAATCACAATAGAGTTTGAAAAACATTTAACAAAAACATGTTTAACCAGAGGTGTTCACCTTAGAGTGTACAAGAATACCGATGTACGTGGTACATAAGTGACTAACACTTCCGGGAAATTTTGTTTTATCAGTAAATAAGTTCAATAATGACATCTCAAACAGGCATGCGTATCGTCACAATGAGCCTAAAAGTGTAATACATTCTGTCTGTAATACAAAATATAATTTGACTTCATCATATTTTTAGAAAGTGATGTGAATTTCTACGCTTCTCTTCAGTCCTTTTTTTCAGTAATATAAATGCATTTAAAAATAGAAAGATAGATCATTCTGAATATTTAACCTTATGAGTAATAAGTAAATACTTGGAATAGAAAACTGTGAGAGAATGATGTATCGGATTTAGCATTCTGTGAAAATTTTTGTGTGCTTAAATTTTAAATATTAAATTAACCAGTGAACTGATAGAATATTAGAAACACCAAAATGCGAAACAACTTTGGATTATTATTATTATTATTATTAGTAGTAGTAGTGGTATAAGTACCACCAAAGATACTCCTAATTTTGGTGGACCGGATTATGCGTCAAACTATGAGTGGGAAACGAGAAGTCAAGGATATCCTGGAACGACGTGATGAAACTAGAAGACCTGAATTTCGCGCGTGAATGATTCATGTTTCATGTCAAACAAAATCGAAAACTGACAAGCGAAAATCGACAAGCTGGTCGAAAGAGCAGCTGGCGAAGACAGAACTCCAGGTGAACATAGACAAGACGGAGGTTATGAAAATAACCAACCAACAACAACAACAGCAGGAACATACAGCGCCAATCACCATCAACGAGAGGGATTT